GACTCTACCTGCATGTTAGTCAAACAAGAGGAAAGAATAACTAGTAAAGTAGAAGAAGGGCCAAGGAATTCACACTTGAGATGTGGAGCCAATGGCTTTAACTCCAAAGCGGGAGGCTCCTCGATTGAGGGCTTTATTGGAGGAGTCTTCCGGTTTTCAAGATCCAAGGATAACTTGCGTGGTTCATAAGTGTACGACCTCATTCCTTGCAATGCATTCACACATTCCACATAGCCTTTGTTCTCCTCATCATTATCAAGGTTGAGCAAAACGGCTTCCAAATTATCCTCAACATTCATTGTGGCACTAGCATCATCAATTATCACATCGGTCACCAAATCCATGAACGAACAAACTTCATTGCTATTCGGTTGCCTCATAGATTTGCACACATGGAAGACCACCTTTTCATCACCCACCCGGAAAGTGAGCTCACCGGCTTCCACATCAACAAGAGCCTTCCCCGTAGCAAGGAAAGGTCTACCCAAAATAATAGGCACCTCATAGTCCACTTAACTATCAAGGATCACAAAGTCCGGCGGGAGGATGAACTTGTCAACACGAACCAACACATCATCAATAATACCCAATGGTCTCTTCATAGTACGATCCGCTATTTGCAACCTCATAGATGTGGGTCTTGGTTGCCCAATTCCCAAAGTTTTGAACACCGAGTAGGGCATCAAGTTGATACTTGCCCTAGATCACATAGAGCTTTGGCAAAATCGGCGCTCCCAATAGTGCAAGGGATTGTGAAAGCGCCAGGATCTTCCAATTTCAGAGCCATTGAGTGCACAATAGCACTCACTTGATGTGTCATCTTGATAGTCTCATAATTCATCGACCTCTTCTTAGTCACCAAATCCTTCATGAACTTTGCATAACCCGACATTTGTTCCAAGGCCTCAACCAACGGCACATTAATAGACAAACTCTTCATCATGTCAATGAACTTTTTAAATTGGTTCTCACAATTTTTCTTGGCAAGCCTTTGAGGATATGGAGGAGGAGGCCTTGGCATTGGAGCCTTAGCCTTTGGCACCACCGATTCCGGTATGTCCACAATGTTCTCCCTAGATGGGTTCACTTCTTCTTGAGTCTCCTCCACATTATCTTCAATATCAATTCTCACCTCATCATTTGCTTGCACTTCATTGCTTTGCATCTCATTTTCTTGTGCCAATTGTTCACCATCCACAATTTTCTTTTTACTTGAGGTGGTTGCTTCCCCACCTTTTCCACTCCTTGTAGTCACATCCATGGCATGTCCCGTGTTGTTCCCACCCTCCGAGTTCACCACTGTATCACTTGGTAGTACCCCCTTAGGACGAGTGTTCAAAGCTTGCGAGATTTGGCCCAATTGAACTTCCAAATTGCGGATTGAAGTGTTGTGAGAGGCTAGTTGAGCATCGGAGTCGGCATTCTTCTCCATCATTTGTTTGAACACGTTCTCTATTCGGCCCATCTCATTGTTGGAAGAACTCGAACCTTGGGAAGGATAGGGAGGTGGATTTCTCGGTTGTTGAAACATCGGGGGCCTTTGAAAACCCGACCCCCGGTTATTGTTGTTGTTGCTCTATCCTCCTTAGTTGTTACCTCCCCAAGAGCCTTGATTATTTCCACTTCAATTGCCTTGGTTATTTTGACCATTCCAATTTCCTAGATTGCTTTGATTGTTCCAATTCCCTTGGTTATTTGATTGTTCCAACCGATAGTTAATGGTTCCGATTTTCAGAAATTTGAATTTTGGATTTTGCGACTGAAAATCCACATTTGATTTTTCAATAGAAAGGTAAGAGAAAGCTTTGAACATTATGAATTTGGAGATAGACTCAATCGAAATTGAAAGGATGAATCAAACCCAATCAAAAGGGAAGAAGGATTAGGATTTCTTTGACTTTTAGGAAAAATTAAGGAAAACAGTCCAATTTCCTTGATTTCCTTGTGGTCGCCATTGTTGTTGACTTGGGCCTTGATTGTTGTTTCTTTGCCCTTGGAAGTTGTTCACATATTGTACTTCCTCCTCTTGCTCATTGTATTGTCCATCTTGATCAAATCCACTATCATCTTGCTCATAATTTTCAACCCTGTTTTGCACTTGAGGACCCTTTTGCCTTCTCTTGTTTACCATCATACTAACTCCTTCCATTGCATTTACTTGCTTGGGACCTTGCACTTGTTGAAGTTGAGCTTTGGCTAGTTGATTCATTGTGGTGGTCAACTCGGTAATTGCTTGCCCATTATCATATAATTCCTTATGCAAGTGAATCACATTTGGATCGCCTTGAGGAACATTTTCTCTACATTGCCATACCGATGAAGTATCCGCCATCTCATCAAGAATCTCACAAGCTTCCGCATACGGCGTTGTCATGAAATTTCCACCGGCAAGTTGGTTGACCATGCATTGATTGGTAGTATTGATCCCCCTATAAAAAGTTTGTTGAATCATAGCCTCTGTCATGTCATTGTTCGGACACTCTTTCACCATAGTGCGGTACCTTTCTCATATCTCGTGCAAAGGCTCATTGGGTTCTTGTTTGAAAGCTAGAATCTCATCCCTCAGAATTGCCATATGCCCGGGAGATAAGAACTTGGAGATAAATTTTTCGTCCAATTCGTCCCATGTATGAATAAATGATTTGGCAACCTCTCCAACCAATCCAAGGCCTTCCCCCGAAGAGAGAAAGGGAATAGCCTCAAACACAAAGCATCCTCGAAGACGTTGGTTGTTTACTCCCCCAACAAGTGTCAACAATCCCTTTTAAGTGTTTGTATGCATTTTGACTCGGGCCCCGGTGGAGAATCCCCATTGTTCCAACAGTGTAAGCATAACATTTGTGATTGAAAATTTCCCACCCTAATGCGGGGCGGGACCATGGCACTTGCATATCCTTCATTCGGCAACACCTGGTGTGCCGCCGCTCTTGGAGGACATGGGGGAGAAACGGGAATGTTGTCTTGAGGTGGGCACCCTCGTCTATTTCCTTGAGGTTCAAGAGGAACCTCATCAACTTGGTCATCATCCCCGCCATCCCCCAATGGCACGTTTCCAAGAGGATCATTGTTGTTTAGAGCCATTGTATCACCTACAATTGTTTCATGAAAAGATTAGTAACTCGAAAGGAAAAAAAGACAAATCACACACAAAACCAAATATAAAGCTAAATCCGTTTTTAGCTCCCCGACAACGGCGCCAAAAATTGATGTTGCCCAAACTCACACCACTAACTGGGATTGTGAGGCAGTCTAAGCAATTATAAATACCCAACGCGAGTCGGGGTCGATTCCACATAGACCTTTATGTGGGATTAGGTATATACCTAGTCTAGTGTATGGAGTGCCCAAGATTGCACTTCCACATATTGAGTTGTTTCTTTTCTACTTCTAGTTTGTATGCTAGTGCTTGTAATTGAAAAGCTAAGAGACAATATTTTTGATATTGTTGTTTTTCAAGTTATAAAAGATCTAGGGTTGTAACTTCCGCTTAGATAGTTAGCTAACGGATTGAGAGCTTTAGGGCATGTTTGGTTATACAATATAGCAATTGCACACGATTACTCACTCTATACCTCTCGGTACTTTGAGTGATTTTGCCCAATTTGGCTTTCTCAAGTCCAAATGGGTATTTCACGAAACAAGTGATAGATTCTCAAGTCGGGTCTTACTATCTCTAGATTCAACCCTTTAATTGAGGCTATCAATTTCTTGAATTCGCCCCAATTTCTTGTTAGCCAAGTTTTCCTAGTCTTAGTCTCTCTTTCTCAAGTAGAGACTAAGTCAATTAGGTATGAATCAATGTTTGCAACCATAAATTCTCAAATTCAAGCAAGAACCAGGCTAAGTATCATATACCCAATCATAAATAAGCGCTAAATCAATCATCCATTAAGTACCCATATTAGGGTTGGGTCACAATCCTAGCTAGAAATTTAGCTACTCATGGAAAATGAAGAAATAAAAGAAGAAACTAAGATAAATTTCATAATAGATGATTAAGGAAAGAAAATGTAATGTTAAAATGTTGAACTAGTACAAAGTTACCCAATACAGTAAAGAAAAACAACTATCTATTCTCAGGTGCATAAAACTTGACCTAAAAATGACAAAAAGATCTATTTATACCCAGCTAAAATTATCAGACAAAATTGCCCCTGCGGAGATTTTGCGGCCGCACAATTCTGTGTGCGGTCCGCACTTTAAAACTTGGCTTGACAGGTTGGACTTCTGTGGCCGCACAATTCTGGGTTGCGGCCGCACTTCTTCAACTTCTGCGGACCGCACATTTCTGAGTGCGGCCGCACTCTTGATTTTGCGGCCGCACAATAATGGTGTGGTCCGCACTTCTTGACCTTGGGCTTTGGCATGGGGGAACTTCTGCGGACCGCACATTTCTGAGTGCGGTTACGCTCTTGCTTCTGCAGTCGCACAATAATGGTGTGGTCCGCACTTCTTCATGACCCTAAAATCCCATCTCTCTGAACCTCATCTTCTGCGGTCGCATAAATATTGTGCGGTCCGCATTTTGCCCTTTTAGCCTTGTTTTCGTCCTTGCCCAAAATTACTCCTTCTTGAGTTGATTTTCATCCCTTTGGCTCATATTCCAATACTCCTGCAAGAAAGCACTTTTCATTAGTTTTTGGGAATATCTTTAAGCAATTTTGAGCTAAAACGAAAGTAAATGAGTGCAAATAAGTAGTCAAAATCCCTACTTATCATTGCTTGAATGTGACGGGTTAGAAGCCAGGATAGACTATAGGATTTTGACCCAGAAACTGAGAGAGAATTTCACAGAAGGTTGAGAGAAGCGGGAAGGAAATAATCCATAAGCACTCACTCAACTTCCTGTTGAAATGGAGAGTGAACACCCATTGGCGGTACAAGAGGTGGCTATGACCAGCATTGCTAATGTCACCTCTAGTATCGTTAAGCCTAGGATCACTGGGCACTTCGAGCATAGGCAAAGAATGATCCAGCTACTTCATGCAAATAGATAGTTCATGGGACTGCCACACGAGGACCCCCAACAACATATTCTGAATTTTTTGGAGATTAGTGATACCTATATCACTAGCGAGGTTACATATGATTATGTTAGGCTCACATTGTTCCCTTTTTCTCTGTTGGGAAAGGCCAAGAGATGGTTGAAGTCTGAGCCAGCTTATTCTATTGCATCGTGGAATGATTTGGCTCGCAAATTCATAGCTAGGTTCTTTCCTTCTAGTAAAGTCGCAAAGATAAGAAGTGAAATAGTTGCATTCAAACAGAGAGAAGGTGAATCACTTTATGTGGCCTGGGAGCGATTTAAGGGGCTACTAAGAGACTATCCACAGCATAACCAAACCAACGAGGTACTGGCTCACACTTTTATTGAAGGTCTTAACCCTGAAACAAAAATAGTGGTTGACGCAGCAGCTGGTGGTCTAGTACTGGAAAAGAGCTCTAATGAAATCTACGCGTTGTTAAAGAAGTTTTCCAAAAGCAACTCAGATTGGCAAGGGGAAGCTGGTAGACACACAAACCAGAAAGCTACCAGGGTACTTGAATTGGATGTTGTATCAGCATTATCTGCGCATGTAGCATCTTTAGTGAATCAAATCAACAAGATGAATGCGGTTCAAAACCAACAACAGTTCCAACTAATGCAACTGGTTCAACCAGTACAACAAGTGCAGGTGTTCTACGAAGTCTGTGGCGAGGGCCATACCAATGATGTTTGTCCAGTGAATCCAGAATCTGTTTACTATGTGGGGAATGCAAATAGAGGACAAATAAATCAAAATCAATTTGGCAATACTTATAATCATAATTGGATTAACCACCCAAATTTCTCATGGGGTGGAAATCAAGGAGCTCGGAATTAGCTCAGACCACAAGGCCATCACCAAAATTTTCAGCCGCCACAAATTGTTCAATCAGTAAATCCGATGGGTAATATTTGTCGCGCCCCCTTTTTCCCTCTTTGCATCAGAAAATCAAGTTTATGACATTTTGGGCATAGGACAACTCTTTCCTTTTGGGAAAGGGGTTTGCAATTGAAGAGTCGCCACCTAATGATTTAAGGTGCATTAGGACACCTATAAGGTTCACTTCTAAGTTTGTTTGATAACCAGAGATAGGGTAACGGCTTGAAATTATCCCGAGGGGAAGGTGTTAGGCACCCCTCAGGATCCACTAGTGTGGTTCCCGGCCAGATAATTCTTTGTAAATTTGTACAATAACAAGTAAACAAATAAGGCTCAAATAAGAGGGGATTTTAATACACAAGTGTTTGGAAGTGATGAAAGTAAAACAGAGTTTGCAAAGCAATCATTAAAGGGTTGATTTTGAAAAGAAGTTGCAATTCTATAAATATTTAAAGGAAAAGAAAGAGGAGGGGGAGGTCCTAGGTTTATTTGCAATATGGATCACATCAATGCAATACCCGGTAATCACTCATCGAGAGAGGGGCTACACGTGGTATTAGCGCACCGGTCATCATATCCATATCTACCCTTCCCACCCCGTTGAGGTACTAAAGCGCAGATTGGTCTCGACCACTATTGCATGCTATTACCCGTCCCATTCCTATCAGTCCCGGAAGCACTTAGGACTACTATTCCTACAGGGGAGGGATATTAGGCTGACTTTGAGGTTTCAAAAGGTGAAAAAGCTAGGGCGACATACAAAACACATAGGACTGAACATTAAGGGGGAACATGTAAACACCGAAAAAGGCTCATGTATACCTCCTCAAGCAAAGCACATAAATAGCATGACCTTAACACAATCAAGGCCAGAATTTAAAGTACTAAGACAGGGGAGTTTTAGTTGTTGAAGCAGACCAATTTATTACATAACTCAGATAAGAAGTCTGAATCAGGCCTGACTGCTGGTTGTAGCAATTACTAATTAACAAAGGTGGATTCAGTTTTATTCTTGTTATCACCTAAGGCTTGCCTAGATGTTAGGGTGAGATACTATAAACACGATATCTATTACCAATTCAGAATGGGGCAAAGCAGTAACAAATTCTAGAATAAATGATTTAAGATCCTATAAACATGCTTTCTAAACCGTATTAATAGGAAGGGAGAGAGTCGTTGAAAATTAGTTCAGAACAGTGAGAGTTAGGTTGATTTTAGACTAGACTGGTTTCAGACGATGACATCTATTATTCCTGATTTTAAATCCTATAGACATGATATCTATTATTGCTTATTTTAATTTCTATAGACATGATATCTAGTTGAACGTGAAATGAAGCATGCAGGATTTACTTGAAATTCCTATAGGCATGATTTCTACGAAAAGGTACTGATTTTAGATGCCGGATTATAACCAATAGGATCCTAAGAACATGGTGTCTAAGTGTGGTAATAAACATGCACAACTTAAGACAAATCCTATAGGCATGTTGTCTAAATGCAGAAATTAAAACAGGTCCTATAGACAGGTTCTCTAAATGCCGAGTTAAACATGCAAACTTTAAAGACAAGTCCTATAGACATATTATCTAAATACTGAGTTAATCAGAAAAAAACAGGTCCTAAAGGCATGATCTCTACCCTTCTAATAGTTAAGCATGCACAATTACCCGGCCCTTTTTCACTAACCAACCCCAAATGCTTATTACAAATTATTACAAACCAAAATAATGAATTACATCAAAAATATGTAAAAAAAAGAAGAAGTTACAACCATAGGAAGCCTGATTCTGACTTCCTCTATGAGTTATGGAACAAAACACCTCAAACGCCAACTTGTTTCAAAGCCTTTCTCAGACCTGGGTGTGTCAAAGTTCCCTAAGGGTCTCAAGGGACCCCGGGCAGTGCTTACACCCAAGTTTGCATAATCAGATAGAGATGAGTGCAGTGTGGGAGGGCCATCCCTTATGTGTCCATGTTCAGAGAGAGCTCATGGGTCCCAAGGCAAGGCTCACACAAGAGGGGTAGAACCTAAGTCTACGAATATAGTGGAAGTGCAGGAACAGAGATTTAAAACTGAGTGGAGAATAGAGAGGGGTAAGGGTGGTTGGAAAATAGTAGTAGTACAGCTAACATTACACAGAATCGGCACTTTCATACAAAGGGGTCAGGGTTTGGGAATTCATTGCAGGGAGTATATGACCTTAGGAAGGGGCCAGGTTTGGGCATGTACAGCAATAGATGGTGCTGGCATGCCCATATACCAGCCTGAGAACACAACACATAGAGGGGTATGAAGCATATGACCCTAAGGAGGGGTCAAGTTTGGGGTCATGCACAGCAATGTCTAATGCTGACATGCCCCCTAACCAACCAAGGAATACAAACACATAGGGGATATGGGGGTTTGGGGTTCGTAAGTCATAATAAGTGACTGACAGAGTAATGGAACTTGATTAAACAAGCAGGAAACACGCAAGAGTGAAGGAAATAGTAAGGAAACATGTTGTTGTTGATGCAGGAAAATTAATTAGAATATACCAGTAAAGAAGAAAATGCAGAAAGAAAAGTAAGCAAATTCCCCACAGCCTAGCCTTGGCTTTCAGCCGGCCAGACAAGGCAGCAACACAAATAGTAAAAGAGAAAAGAGAGAGAGTTTTTAGTGAGGTGTGTGTTCTGAACTCAAGTGTTTCATTCCTTGTGTTCGTGTGTTTGAAAGAAGAGGGATGCAGGGTATTTATAGCCTTTTTGAAAACGAGTGAAGGAGAGGAAATAAGTAAAGTTTTAGTACAAATATGGAAACAACCAACAGTCAGAATCAATTATACAAGTGATTCCCTTTAATTAAGGAATCACTGTCTAACAAGATTCAAATAAGGAAAGAGATCAGTCTAGAGACGGACTGATTATTGCCATAAAAGAAGTAGTACAAGCATTAAGTAAGTAATCAAGTCTAAGTACAGAGATATGCTTATTTTGGAAAAGATTCAGTAAGGCAAAGTATCATAGTAAAGGGGGAAGAATCAATCAATTTGAACGGGCGAGTGAAATCAGGGTTCATAAAAGGGAAACTTTAGAAATCAGTCACAAGATGAAGATCGATTAAGGAAGAAACTTCAGCATATAAATAAAGTGAACAAGGTCATCAGACATGCGAAGCCAAACTCATTAACAAAATCACAAACAGGTAGTAGTGGCAGAAATAAGCTAGGGTTCAGTAGTAAAGCAAACATTCGAAGCACAGTAATCAAGTAGGTCGAGTCACATTAAATTAACAGGGAAGAAAACAGAGCATCAAAAACATGCAAAGATTTCACAATAGCAGGTGAGGAAAACCCTAGTCGAGTTGAAAGATAGTAAAAAAAAATCAGATGAGTCACATAGAGAAAAGAGAGAGTCTAAAACAAAAGCTTTCAGTCGAGTCAAGTACTCAAACAAACAATTTCAGACCCAAAGACCTAGGGTTTCAACAACAATCAATTTTAAAAGGTGATAAACAAATAAATCAAACAAGTGCTAGCAAACAGTTTCAGAATTCGAATGAACCCAAAAGAAATTAGGGTTTTTAACATGCTAACTCAGATAGGAGAACAACATGAGCAACACATAGAAAAATCACAGACACGTTAAAATCAGAGAAGAGATTTTGAAGAGAAAAACTTGAAGGAAAACCCTAATCGGAAACTGAAGAGTCATTTTGAAAGAAAGGTCAAAGAAACTTCGAGAAGCACTTAAAAAGTTCATGGCAAGCATAGATCTAAGGTGGATCTGAAAGCAATCGAAAAAGTCTTAGAGATTAGGGTTTCAGAAAACCCAAAAGCAATGAGAAAGGCCTTGAAAGTTACCGATCTAACCAGGAGAGTCAAGAATTTGACTCGAATGGCCATGGCTGGCCGGAGAAAGGTTAGGGATGACCGGAGAAAGGTTATCGAGCAAGGACTAGACCAAATCCCTTCGAGGTCTAGTCATGAAACCATAGAATCAAACACATAGGAGCCATGGAAGGCTGGTACAAACCTCAAATGACCACGGAAGGCCATAGATTAGGTAGGTATTAGGGTGGATTAGGGTGGCGGTGGCTAGGGTTTAGGAGGTGTTGCAGAGAGGGTTTGAGAGGAAGGGGGTTCAAGGGCGGCGGTAGGTGAGAAATGATAGGGTTTTGGGGTCGTTTGGGATTAATTAAGGTAAGGGGAACGGGAGCCGTTGATCTAAATGATCAACGGCTGGGATTGAAATGGTTAGGTGGAAGACCGGGTTGGGTTGTTTAAACGGGTAAGGGGTCGGATTTAAAAGGAACTGGGCCAAGGGAAATTGGGTTCAAATTGGGATCAATTTGGGCTATAATTGAAATGTAACTGGGCTATCATTTAAATAGCCAATTTTCCCCTATTAAAATTATAAAAAATAGTAAACTGATTTCTGAAAATAAATTAAAAGTACTAAAATGATTCATGATATATAATTAACCATTTAAAAATAATGGACTTAATCTTTATGAACATAAACGCAGTTAAATCTTAAAAGAGGCTAATGTTGCAATTATACAATTTAGCCTTAAAAATACTAAATGATTTTGTAAAAAATATGCAAAAATTCCCTTAGCTATATCTTAGCATAAATGTAAAAGTTCAACAAGTGAATCACCAAAAATGATAATTTTAGAAATAATTATTGGGTTTTTATGGATCAAAATTGGGAAATAAATTGATTTAAAAATCTTTAAAAATTAAGAAAAAATAATGAGACGCTTGGACATACATTATATATTCATACATATGCTATTTTGAGGGTACTTTGCATATTAAAATATATATAGGAAAAAATTGGGTATCAACAATATTGAGGAGATGCTAAGGAAGATTATGGCTGATTATCAAAATCAGGCTACTGCTATTCAAAGAGCAACAAATGGGGCAACTTGCTGTTGCTCAAAATAATCGGCCAGCTGGGGCTCTTCC